AGTCAGGGTGTAACGGCCGGGCGCGAGGGGGGGCCGGGGTCTCTTCCCCCCGCACACGCGGGTCCCGGGGCCGCTGGATCCCAGACGGGCGGAAGTTGCGGGCTCCAGCGCTGGGGGCTCTCCCGCTAGGGGCGCCTCGCAGTCCCGGGGCCAAGCGCCCCCCTCACCGGCCTGCGGAGAAAGCCGGGAGCGCCCGCCCTGTCCGGCTACCAAGGGCCCGCGCGCTCTGGTAGGCGCTGCTGAGTGTTGCATCGAGCATGTGTCCGGCAGTGCCCAGTGCCCACTGGACGCCACCTTGGGCTGCTCACCGGTAAAGAGATGCTCCCCTCCCACCTGCAAATCCGAAGACATTTAAATTCCTTTCCTGTGTCTGTGGCACGTTGCATGGTGGCTGATCCAAACACTCCCCTGCTCGGAGCAATGCAGAGCTGTTGGATCTAATCAGTGTGTGGAGCAAAGATTCAGTTAATTTGGAGCTGCAAGTGACCCAAAAGAACTGGGACACGAATGGTTGCATTTCTCAAGCCCTGTGTGCCAAGGGGCATGAGTTAGACACCGTACAATGCAGAGCCACTATCAAGGAACTCTGACAGGACTACTACAAGGCAAAGGAGACAAACGGCCTCTCTGGTCTGGTTTGATCTTCTCTGGAGACTGCCAGACAATGAACAGGCCAGGGAGGGGGAGAATTCCTGTGCCAACCCCAAATTTCTGGGAAGCCCAGGCAATCTGGAGCTGGTTTGATTTCCCAGGGGAGTCAGGTTTTCTCCTTGGTGGATTATGACTTTTCCTATTGCAGTTTCACTTTCTCTGCTTTGCCATAGCCCCACCCCGGGTCCTTTTGGCCAGCTGACAAGCAGTGGTACGAGTCCCCTTTAGGGTACTCGAGAGAAGTCTGGGAGTGGGTACATCAATACCACTGAAACGTGGAGAAAACTGAATTTTTGCTATTAAGTTTTACAGCGCTTTATTATTTTTGTACTTTTTACACCCAAACATTTCATTGCCCGCCCGGCTACAATGAAATTGTTTAAATAAAAAAAGAAAAGTTGAAAATCACTTAGAAAAGTTAGATGTCTGCAAGTCACCAGGGCCTGATGAAATGCATCCTAGAAGGAACTGATAGAGGAGGTATCTGAGCCTTTAGCTATCATCTTTGAAATATCATGGAAGACGGGAGAGATTCCAGAAGATTGGAAAAGAGCAAATATAGTGCCCATCTATAAAAAGGGAAATAAAAACAACCCAGAAAACTACAGACCAGTCAGTTTAACTTCTGTGCCAGGAAAGATAAATGGAGCAAGTAATTAAGGAATTAATCTGCAAACACTTGGAAGATAATAAGGTGATAGGGAACAGCCAGCATGGATTTGTAAAGAACAAATCATGTCAAACCATTCTGATAGATTTCTTTGATAGGATAACGAGTCTTATGGATAACGGAGAAGTGGTGGATGTGGTATACCTAGACTTTAGTAAGGCATTTGATATGCTATCGCATGATCTTCTTATCAATAAACTGGGCAAATACAACTTAGATGGGGCTGCTATAAGGTGGGTGCATAACTGACTGGATATCCGTTCCCAGAGCGTAGTTATTAATGGTTCACAATCCTGCTGGAAAGGTATAAGAAGTGGGGTTCTATAGGGGTCTGTTTTGGAACCGGTTCTGTTCAATATCTTCATCAACAATGTAGATATCGGCATAGAGTTTGCAGATGATACCAAGCTGGAAGGGATTGCAACTGCTTTGGAGGCTAGGATAGGAGAAATGGTCTGAGGTCAACAGGCTGAAATTTAATAAGGACAAATGCAAAGTGTTCCACTTAGGAAGGTACAATCAGTTTACAGAATGGGAAGCAACTGTCTAGGAAGGAGTACGGCAGAAAGGGATCTATGGGTTATAATGGACCACAAGCTAAATATGGGTCAACAGTGTGACACTGTTGCAAAAAATGTAAACATGATTCTGGGCTGCATTAACAGGTGTTTTGTGAGCAAGACAGGAGAAGTCATTCTTCCGCTCTACGCTGTGCTGATTAGGCCTCAGTTGGGCTACTTCTACACTGCAGGCTTCTTGAGCAAGAACTGTTTTACACAAGAGTTCTTGTGCAAAAGGTCTTCCACAAGAGTGCGTCCACACTGCCATATGCTTTTGTGGAAGAGATGTGCTTTTGCGCAAGAGCGTCCGTGGCAGTGTGGATGCTCTCTTGCACAAGAAAGCTCTGATAGCAATTTTAGCCATAGGGCTTTCTTGTGCAAGAAACCCCTATTTCCTGTCTACACTGTCTTCTTGTGGAAGAGCTCTTGCGCAAGAGAGCTCATTCCTCATGGGGAGAGGAATAACTCTTGTGCAAGAAGCCCTGTTTTCTGACGCTTTACTGTAAATTTACTTGTGCAAGAATGTGTGTGCAGTGTAGACGCCCTGCAAGTTCTTGCGCAAAAAGCCTGCAGTGTAGACATAGCCTTAGAGTATTGTGTCCAGTTCTGGGCACCACATTTCAAGAAAGATGTGGAGAAATTGGGGAAGGTCCAGAGAAGAGCAACAAGAATGATTAAAGGTCTAGAGAACATGAGCTCTGAGGGAAGACTGAAAGAATTGGGCTTGTTTAGTTTGGAAAAGAGAACATTGAGAGGGGACATGATAGCAGTTTTCAAGTATCTAAAAGGGTGTCACAAAGAGGAGGAAGATAACTTGTTCTTCCTGGCCTCCGAGGACAGAACAAGAAGCAATGGGCTTAAACTGCAGCCAGGGAGGTTTAGATTGGACATTAGGAAAAAGTTCCCAACTGTCAGAGTGGTTAAATACTGGAATAAATTGTGGAATCTCCATCTCTGGAGATATTTAAGAGTAGGTTAAATAAATGCCTATCAGGGATGGTGTAGACAGTACTGGGTCCTGCCATGAGGGCAGGGGACTGGACTTAATGGCCTCTCAAGGTCCCTTCCACTCCTAGTATTCTAGGATTCTAAGTCTCTATAAATGTTTTGCAATGGTAGACGGTGCGGGCCCCTGCCATGAGGGCAGGGGACTGGACTTAATGGCCTCTCAAGGTCCCTTCCACTCCTAGTATTCT